ATATTCCTTATTCATCTCTCAGACCAAAGTCACTGAATCAGGTCGCATGTTACACTTTGATAACAGAGTACTTTCTAAAGCTCTGTCAAGTGAATGTTGAACTTAAGTTTGATCTCACACGTATACTTTCGTATACAAGGGGATTGCCACATCTGAGTCAGATAATCCACCATTTGGTTTATTGATAAAGGCTTCACGACACTATCAGGTGGCTATGTCTTGGTAATCTCCATTTTTAGTTTTTTTTTTTATTTATTTATTGTTAAACACATGCCTTTTCTATGCACAAAGGATTTTTTAATTTTTTTAATTTTATCTCACGTAAACAAATCAATCTTTTTATATTTACTAAGGGCAGTATGCCCGTGCAGTATTACAGGTGTGTGAGTTGGGCTACAAAATTTTTAACATTGTACTGGTGATACAGATACATTTGTGCATACACATTTCCATGCCCACGCACACGGACGGCCACACGCACGAAGACCTTTTAATTGAGTCTTACATCCTCATAGCTAAGTATATAGCTATTTCCCTTAAAAGCATAGATGCCCCAACATTGTTGACCACAGAGAAATCATGCCCTTCTTTCCTCATGAGCAAAGAGGCAAACATTCGAGTGACCTGTAAAAGACAAAAAATAAAACTTCAAAATCTGTATCTCCAGCCAGGCAAAAACTGACATTCAAAAACAGGAGATGCTTTTATGATTTTATCAATGTGTTTAGAAATGGAATGGATAACCTAACTTCTGTTGGACCACCTAATCCAACTCATGCTATTCCATGTTTCACCATGTTATTTTATTTTAGTCTTTTAAAAATTATTGAAATTTGACATGAAAGGTTTTTGAAGACCAATTTTCAGATATACACTGTGTAAAATCTGGCATTGTCATTTGTCACTATATCGTTGCAGTTCTTCAGATCGTACGCAATTATACTATATTTAAATATTTTTAAATAGCAATTGGTTTTTGAAGTGAACAGAAGTATAATATTTTGAACTTTCTTTCTTCAACCCCATCCCATCAATACTTATGTTGGAAGAGAAGAAAACTTGAATACAAGGCTGATGACACGCAAAAAAATATTTACTTTTGATTACATGCAGTATTTTGAATAAAAAGGAAAAGGGGAAAAACAGGCAGACACCAGGAGTTGGGCACATTGGATGTGCCAAACTTCTTAATAATGCCAAACATATTGAAACTGAGCAGCCTGAGCTATTGATTCTCAACGAACCACAAATGGTTCTCTAGTCCATTTCACTGCTTGAAGTTTGAATCTGAGTTTTTTTCTGTCGTTTTGATTTAAACAAATTTTTCTTTGTGCTGAAATTTCCACTTGGGGGTTAAAGTTTGGGTTGTACTAGAGGACTTTCCAGAATATTCACTTGCCAGTGTGCCTTTGTGAATTTATGGCATCAAGTGCACCCTCTAGTTTGAACCATTTAATTTTTTTTAATTGGGTAGTTTCATTGCTTTGCTTGGCGGATGCTTGTCTCCATTATGATCTTACTCGAAGAAGCGGTTTTCTTCATCGTTTATAATTCTGTGACTCATTTAAGTAATATCCAATTCTTGTTATACACAGGATGAAAACGCCTTCATTAAAAATTATGCAGATCCTCATAAGAAACTCTTAGAGCTTGGTTTCTTTAGCTCCCCCAGCTTGGAAGATGAAAGATGGTAAAGAACATGCACAAAATGCTGTCAGACTTGCTGTTGCAATGGTGATTCCAAGTTACTTGTACGAAATCTGGAACAAGATAAAAAAAACTCTGGCTTGTCATTTCGTTTTCATTTTCATTATGCACTTATTATGAAATGTATCTTGTCTATAGTTCATATTCGTACTATGCCACACGTTGAAGTAAAACACAGAAGCTTTATGTGCCGACTCAATAAATTAGTAGAAAATTGCATGAACTTGTTTGCGCATGATGGAGTAAATAATATATTGATGAGATGGAATTTATGTTGGCTTATGATTACTCCTTACCCTTTAGAAAAATTCATAAATGGAATTTCAGTTCACATTGGAGATGCAAAGAGATGGATATTTTAAAGGTTTTTGTTTGTCTTGATATGAATTGAAAAACATGGGGGTCATGGAAAAACAACATTATTGATCTCTCTCTCTCTCACTCTCTCTCTCTCTCATTGTAGATCCATTTCACATATTATTTTTTTATACTTGTCCCTCATGCGAATAATTGAGCCATTTTACCTAAATTATATGACCACATACTTGTCTTTTACCTACTGTTGATTTTGTAATAAAATATCTTCAAATTTGTTTGCTTTTTCTATCTTACGGATGCTTGTGTTAGTGATCACTTCTTTAAACAATGACGAAAAATTTTCCTTGGTTTCCCAAAATAATGGTATCATAGCATGAGGCTTAGTTTTCATGTTGTGGTACTGAGAACGAAACAAATTTTTGGTTCTGACCTATTCAGGATGACACTGGTGACTGGACAACGTACAAAGGAGTCCCAACCCAACAAAGTTTGGGTGGTGGTAATTACGGAAGCTAATCCAGTTATAATTCCGTTCTTAATGTTAGGTTGTTTAGGTATCACCAAGGCAATATTGGAGCAAACGAAGGTACTCGATTCATCTCCCCTTGCATTACCCACCTTCTCTGTAATAGCTTAAATTTTTAATAGATGTAATTTAACGCGTGCTTCTAGTATTAAGAACTTACCCTTTATCCACCAAACATGGGACATTTGACACGTACCTTAATTTCTTTAAGGTTGAGGGGGCTCACATGGGTGAGGAACTACTAAAGAGGTAGGTAAGAGTTTTTTTTGGACAGCCCCACACACAGACTTGTTCTATACCTAAGCACATGATGTCCATGAGCTTATGAGTTGGCTGACACCTTACCATCAAGATTGATGCCTACGCTGTTTAGACATGATTATAAGTTTCTTAACCAATTTGACGTTAGATATTAGATACTTTGCCCAAATTAATCTATATTTTCCTTTTCATTATCTTCCCTTCTTGTTGAAATTTGCATGTAGGACAGATACAAGTTGGGATTAACTACTTAAATCTCCCCCAACCCTAAAATCCCAATTGACCTAACTATTGTTGTGATAAGTCCCAATCCAAGTGAAATAGGAGAGAATTGATAGGACAAGAATTAAATGCTACAAATTAGGTTTATATAAATTTCAAGTTGTACATATTTCTCTCTCTCTCTCTCTACACATGCACGCGCGCGCGCACGTTATTGAACATGATATGGATAGGGTTTGAATATTTTTGCAAATTTGGGTTAATTTTCAATTGTGAAGACATAGATAAGCTTACCCGTAATTTTCTTTTTCTTTTATGGAACTTCCTTTTCGGGATGGGAAGATAATGTACGTGTGGAAATAAAATCATAAACCGTGCCAATTATTCAACATCAATGGTGGAGCCATTTTGGACCGTGACAGTAGGAAAAGGTGAAAAAGGTAGGTAAAATACACATGAAATTAGACAAGTGGATGCCTGTCCTCTCAAAATTATCAAAACCAAACCGATGGCCGCAGTTAAGGATCTTGATTCATAGGTAAAAGTCGTTTCAAATGTTGTTTTCAAAACTATGTATTGAGAGATATTTTGAAGCATAAATCTGTACAAATGAGTGTATCAAAATGTGGAAAAATAAATGGGTTTCAAGTCATGCATATATGAAAAATTGTGCACGTATTAGGACTTTGATAAAAATAAATCAAACCCGTTTATGAAGTAACATGTTGAATTCCATTCCTAACCCTATGATATGGTCCCTAATTCCTAAACTTGCACCACAAAGTTGGGGGAGAGAGAGGGAAATTAAAAATAAAAAAAGAAAGTGGAAGGTGAAGAAAAGTTAAAGATACAACTATAACCACAACCCCACTCATTTCCTTGGATCTACTTATTGTCTTCAATTTACATTTTTATCATCCTATCTTGCACCAAACTCCTAACCCTTCTAGAAGCCCTGACAATCTATTAATATTTTGCATGTTGGTGCACCAATAGAATAAAAGTAATTATTCTCTACAGTGTACACTAAGGAAAATAAAACCTGCCAAATCCCACCCACAAACTAACTAAATTTTAAAAATATCACATATTTCATATTTCCTTATCAAAACAATATTCCCACTTTGTTGATTCTAAAGTTGAAATATACTTTTAAAACCCACTTTTCCTTTACTTATTTATGCATGTGATTTTTCACAAATTTATTGTCACTCTTTAACTTTTCAAGCACTTGTTTGGTGCATATTTTGAGTCCAAGAATGTTTTTTTTTGTTTGATGTGATGAGAAATATGTGGTTGAAAAAAAAGGAAAAATTATTGTTGTGATGGAAAATATTATTTTATTGAAGAATGTGTGGTTGAAAACGAGTAGAAAAATGAAAATGAAAAAAATAATGTGGCTTAAACATGGCTAAAACAAAATTAATTATTTTGATTTGAAATTAAAACAGTAAGGATTATGGGGTGATTCTGGTATACATCGTACATCAGGTTGGGAAGATTTTGGGTTCTATTAAAGTGGGAAGGTAAGAGATGGCATCTTGTCTTTAATGGCTCTACTTTAATTTAATACCTTACTTTGCACCTAACTAAAGGTTACCACCTATAGTTTATTTATTTTCACTTTTACTTATATGATATTTGTATAAATTAATGATGATGTTATAATCATCAATAGATGCCACCAGCCACACACTCTCTCTCTCTCTCATACCCGTCTCACCAACTCACATCTAGAAGAAACTCTCTCTCTCTTTCTCTCTCTCTATATGTATATGTATGTATATATTAGAGTCAAATTAAAGGTTATATAACCCCACACCAAGTCCTTTGAGGACCGGCCTTGATGCTCAAGAATCACCAAGGCTAGAATTTCACAAAGAAAAGAATCAAGAAAAAGGGCAAAAGAAATATTGGCAAAAAAAGTTGTTTTTAGCTACTGAGCAGTTTTTATTATTTTGGCTCAATGGGAAGGTCTCCTTGCTGTGAAAAAGCTCATACAAATAAAGGAGCATGGACTAAAGAAGAAGATGATCGTCTCATCGCATATATAAGGGCTCACGGTGAAGGCTGCTGGCGTTCGCTTCCTAAGGCAGCCGGTCTCCTTCGCTGCGGCAAAAGCTGCCGCCTTCGGTGGATCAATTACTTAAGGCCTGACCTCAAACGCGGCAACTTCACAGAAGAAGAAGATGAACTGATTATTAAACTTCACAGTCTTCTTGGTAACAAGTAAGTCTATCAATAATTGGATCGACCAAATATTGTTCTTTTTTCATTAAGTTGTCATTGCTGATGTGATTATATTGTCATTTTTTTAGATGGTCTCTTATAGCTGGAAGATTACCAGGAAGAACTGATAATGAGATAAAGAATTATTGGAATACTCATATAAGAAGGAAGCTTTTGAGCCGAGGTATTGATCCTACAACTCATAGGCCAATCAATGAGCCTGCATCAGCTAGAGAAGTCACAACCATTTCATTTGCTGGTTCAACAACAAAAGAAGAAGCAGAAAAGTGCATCACTGCAGCGATTAATTTGAACAACAAAGAAGAAAATAGTCCAGATTTCGAGCGTTGCCCCGATTTGAATCTTGAACTCAGAATAAGCCCTCCTTATCAACAACAAGCACAAGAGCCCTTGAAAACTGGAGGGAGGACTGCCTCTCTGTGCTTTGCGTGCAGTTTGGGTGCACAAAACAGCAAAGATTGCGGTTGTAATATTGAAGGTGGCAGTAGCAGTAATTCTGGATATGATTTTATAGGGTTAAAAACTGGGGTTTTGGACTACAGAGGCCTGGAAATGAAATAAAATTTGATCTGGGGTTAAGTTTTTTTTATATGTATTAAAGATTAAAGATTTTAAATTAGAAGAAATTAATATTTGAAGAGAAATGTAAAAGAGATTGGTATTTAGTTATCTTTCTGAATTTCTCTTTGCTTGTACAAGTAAGTAACATCATATTTATTTTTAATGCATAGCATTTACTAAACATTTTCTTCTGTTTGTTCGTTTAAGTATACTCCATCGTCATCTTTGGTATATGTAAGTAAGGCGTTTAATGTGAAATGAAGAATTTCAAGAACTCTGATCACTTGGATCATGTGCTCTCTGTTGATTGCTTTTTCATTTTACTAAGTTTAGATTCCATTTTTATTGTCGTTTGTAGAGAAAAAGGATATGAATGAGGAGGCAATGGATAAGCTGTGAGAGGATGAGAAGAAAAGGAGAAGAAGAAGTTGGTAACCTGTCCCTTCTAAAATAATAAATAAAAAGTAATTATTAATTATTATATAAAAAAATGTGAGAAAAAGTGACAACTGTTGATATACAGTACCACACCTCTCCCAACTTAATTACAATACACACTTTTAGCCGTGATCTACCAACCTACTCATATTTGAAAACTCATGACTAGGTGTACTTTGAGTGCCTGAAAGACATATTTGGTCTTAGTTAAAAATAATAATAAAATTAAAATTGATGGTCTTTAGGTATTTTTTTTTTTGTATACATTAGTCGATTCCAATTTAATTTCAATTTACCCCCAACATAATTATATGACTCCGTCGCTTTTTGGAAGTGTAAGCTTTAAAAGTTGAGCTTATATGGTCGAGGTGTGCATCTCGAGAATAATAATTGATGTCAATCCAATTGATAGTCGAGTAGATCTTTGTTTGAAAATTTAACATATTTATGAGAATGGTTGACATTTTATATGAATACTTCATTTTACGCCAATCATATATTTGACTCGATTAGTACGTTGCATAGCAATTTCTATATAACCTTAACCTAATTTCCCATTTGTTTTTTCTTATAATGTTTCAAAATTATGAAATAAAAGTATTTTTCAAAATTAATATGATTTATTATTTTAAATATTGGTATATGCATAGTTGTGACCGTAATCAATAGTTTGACTTGTTGTAGAAAGAATGTTTCCACACAAATAGGATGGAGAAGAAACAAAGAACAAGTAACAAGAAAATCGGAATAATGTATGAAGACTTTAAACACGTAATCGTTGTCCTCAAACGATATTTGCCCCATCACGTATTGAATTTAATGCTTAAAAGGATAAAGACAAATGGTTTGAAGGATTAATCAAACTTTATAATAAAAAAAATATATAAACACTTAGTGTTTTCTACAAAATCTTCAAGAATGCAAAACAAAATTTGAAGATGAAGGGAACTATATTTTGGAATGAAGATTTTATCTCAAGTTGTTTGAATTATCTCTTGTTGATATAATAATCTATCGTGTATTTATAGATTTCAATCAACACCTATGACTTAGTGCCAATTATTCATGAAAAGTTGTAAGCTTTTCTCTAAATGTCACCAAAATCCAAAGAAAAAATCAACCTAAAAGCTATTTTTAGTTCAATGCGATGGCATAGATAAATTACTTGCAGGATAAATAAACCCTGCACCATTTATATGCGAGCGTAGGCCACAAAGGCATATGCGGTCGCATAGGCCAAAGTTTTGGCCTCCAAATCATTTTCTCATTTTAAAACCTATTTTATTGATTTTGAACAACAATTTCAACAATTCCCAACTTATTCAAAATTCAATAAAATCTCATATTAAAAATATACAATAGTTATGCATAAGGATTATATATCTTACTATTTGAATCTAACCATAGTGTAATTCAAATTAAGTAAACTCGAAAGTAAAGGTAGCAAAAAAGTTTTAAACCAATTATTCCTTTTGGCAATACCGATAAGAACACACACACACACACACACACAAGAAGTTCGTCATTCTCGCTTAGTGCTAATATGGCATTGCGCTTATCATATTCAACGAACTTTTAAGAAAGAAACTCTAACTCTCTATTGAGACGACATTACCTCGAAATTTAGGTGAAATTCTTTCAGTATCTTTATTACTTTTAGAGATACTTGTACTTTGGTATTGAATTTCATTAAGAGCTTAAAGCTCAACCCTCATTCAAGTAACAACCAACATTATATTATTAGGATAAGGTTATCGCGAATTTTATAATGTTGAAACTATTTACATATCGAATGACTTGTTGTTACCCTTTGAACCTGTGAATTATTTGTTAAGTAATGACAGGTAGGATTACCATTATTGATGAATGTTTTATTTTAAGAGTTTTAACATTATCCTACTCGAAGTAGATATTAGATTTGGTTAAGGGATTTGCTAGATTTTCAATTGACTTAACATAACTTACGAAGATTATTCCACTTTTGATCAATTTCTTTATGTAGTTATGTCTTAAACTCATATGTATAGATTTTTCATTGTATACCTCATTATATGTCTTTACTAAAGTGGCTTGATTACACATGATAGATATCGAAAATGTATTTTTCGATCCCAAAGGTATCTCGTAGAGAAGATCCTTAAGCCACTCGGTTTCTTTCTCGATATCTAATAATGTTATAAATTCAAATTTCATAGTTGAGTGTGTAATACATGTTTGTTTTGATTTTCAAGAAACAACACCTCTTTCAAGAGTAAACACCCAACTCGAAGTCGATTTACTTTCACCCGTGTTCGATATCCAACTAGCATCGGTAAATCCTTCTAATACAACCGAAAATTTAGAATATTGTAGACTTAAGTTCTTGGTTTTCTTTAAATAGCCAAGAACTCTTCCAATAACCTTCCAATATTTCTTTCTCGGATTACTAGTAAACCTACTAAGTTTATTAATTGCAAATGTTATATCTGGTATTGTGCATTGAACTGCATACACAAGACTTTCTATAACACTTGCATACTCCAATTGAACAATTTCTCTTTCATTAGTCTTTATAAATTTTAAACTTGGATCAAGAGGTGTATTAAATTTTTTTATGTTCAAATGTTTGAACTTATTAATCACATTCTCAATATAATAAGATTGACTCAAGTAGAAACCCCACTAGTTTTTGTAACTTTGATACCTAATTAGTTTTCACTTGTCCAAGATCTTTCAACTTGAATGTGGAACATAAAAATCTCTTCGTTTCTTTGATTCCATCCATGTGATTATTCATAATCAACATATTATAAACATACAAGCCAATAAGAATTATACATTTATCACACACTTTAGAATATAAACATTTATCTACACTATTATTTGTGAAACCAAATGAATTAATAACTAAGTCAAATTTTTCATGACATTTCTTAGGTGCTTGTTTTAGATCGTATAACGATTTCACTAACTTACACACATTATGTTTATTATTGGGTAGAGCAAATCTTTCGAGTTGTTTCATATAAACTTCCTTATCGAGATCCCCATTTACGAATGTCGTCTTGACATCCATTTGATAAACATACAAATTATATATAGAAGTTAATGCGAATAAAATCCTAATTGAAGTTATTATAATTACCAGTGCATATGTATCAAAATAATTTATTCCTTCCTTTTGTCGATACCATTTAGCTATTAATCTAGCTTTAAAGGTATTAAGAGAATCATCAACATTATATTTTCTCCTAAACGCCCATTTATATCCAATAGGTTTGGATCCGGGTGGTAAATCAACAAGTTGAATTTATTTCATTTTTAATTGCATCTTTCCAAAAAATACTATCACGAGATGTCATAACTTCTCTATAAATTTTAAGATCAGTCTCCACTTATAGAACGAAATGAATTGTTCTTACAACATTCTTCTTATTTCCTTCTACTGGGTAAAACGAAATAAGTTGAAAGTCAATTTCATCCGATCCTAAAAACTTTTCAATTCGAGCTCTTTTGATTCTTCGTGGTTCATAAGATTCATGAACATCTTTAGAAAATGTTTCATTTTGTATTCCACTCGAGCTAGAGATCTCATTGTAGGCATTCCTTAAATCATTATCCGAGAATAGTGAATTATCAAAGAACTTGACATCACTTGATTCGACTATTACATTGGTCTCCAAATTTAACAATCTATATGATTTGCTATTACTAGCATAACCATCAAATGCACATTTAATACCTCTTAAACTCAACTTGGTTCTATTATGGTTTGGGTTCTTATAATATGCAAGACACCCCTACATTTTGAAATATCTAATGTTAGGTTTTCTTCATTTCCACGATTCATAAGGAGAAACATTTGTATATTTTGAAAAAACTCTATTTAATATCCTATATACACTCAACAATGTTTATCCCATAAATTAAATAACAACTTAGCATAAGTTAATATAATATTTATCATCTCAACTAAGGTTCTATTTTTCCTTTCAACTAAACCATTTTGTTTGGGTGTTGTGGGTGCAGAACATTGATAAAATATGCCTTGTTATTCATAATACAAGTTAAAATCATTAGAAAAATATTCACCTCATCTATTATTTCTTAGAGTTTTTATTTTCTTGCTTAAGTGATTTTCTACTTTATTTTTATATGTTTTAAACATATCAAAAGTTTCATATTTACGTTTCATTAAATAAATAACCTGCACATTTATATGCAACCGCAGGCCACAAAGGCCTATGCGATCGCGTAGGCGAAAGTTTTGGCCTCAAAGTCTTTTTATCATACCAAAGCCTATTTTATTGATTTTGAACAACAATTTCAACATGGCTTTGTTTGGCATTTCTGTCTTCAAATTGGATGGATTCTACCTCCAACCACATAATGTTCCAAATAACAATGAAAAAGATTAAGAGCTAGTCTATAATTCTTCTTTAGAATATTCAACACTAGTTATAACTCATAATATTCTAATTTAAGTTCACGTTTAATTTAACTAAAAAAATTGATAAAAATTTAAGTTAAAATCAACAATTAATTTTAAGCGGATATTTCATGTGATCCACAATTTTATCCAC